TTACTGTATTCACTATTCCTGTTGATTCATGGTATATTGACTGCTCCGATGATCATTCTGTTGTAGTTCTTTATCTTGTATTCCCCTCAGTATGTTCCCCTCCCGACATTTCCTGCTTAGTTCTTCATTTCTGTTATTTGCATATACACTGCTAAATTGTACAGGTTGATTTGTAGGTGCCTTGCCTTAGCCTCGTCACTACTTCGTCGAGGTTAGGCTCGACACTTACCAGTACATGGGTCGGTTGTACTGATACTGCACTCTGCACTTTCTGTGCAGATTTTGATACCGGCTCGGGTTGATCGAGATTTTGCTATCCGCTGTCCGGAGACTCAAGGTAGATCTGTCGACTTTCACAGACCTTGAAGTTCCTATCTATCTTTTATGTTCTACTGTTTCTTTCATTCAGACAGTTGTATTTCTTTCTGACTATTACTTGTAGCAAATTCTAGAATGCTCGTGAATTGTGACTCCATATCCGGGTGGTAGTAATTGATACAGTTTTATGATATTCCGCGCTTATTATATTTCATCTTAATTAATTATTATTATTTTACTGAATGAAAATAAGGAATTGGTTTAATGATTCTCTAACGTTGGCTAGCCTGGCAAGTGAAATGTTAGGCGTCATCACGGTCCCGTCGGTGGAAAATTTCGGGTCGTGACACTCGTTAACTAAATAACATAAACAGATGATGCATATAGAGATATGATCATTGAACCGATTTATTGGATAATTTCTAATGGTTAGAATTACCATAAACTGTCAATAGGATATTCTCTTGAAGAATGTGATGTAAGAGTTTCCTTTGATCTAATATCATTAAAGTAATTGACAAGTTATTTATTGTGCTTTGAGACTAGACACATATGGCCCTAGGGCGATAGTTGAAAGGATATTGGGTACGATTAAATACTCGTAGAATTAGTGATTGATCAAGATGGAATCTGTCAACTCTTGATAATGAGTTTAAGCTCCATGTTGTCATAAATTATAACTGACCAAATTAAGACCTTGGCCAGGGCGATTGAATGAAAGAAGAAAAGAATTTCTTAGGTCATTCAATGGTTGATTATTTTTGACACGAACACATAGTCGATCGCCTATTAGGATTTGACAGTTGAACCATATCCTAGGGTGACCCAGAGCTATAAGAACAGAAGAAATTAATATATTATTCTTCTACTGGTTCTTGAGAGTAAATTGTATACTTCATGCTATCCGGTCGTTAAGGAGTGTTGCTAGACGCCACCCTTGATTAGTATATTGATGTGATCAATTTACTACCGGTTTAGTATTGAACCTATGGGTCACACACTAACGAGTGTTCTGATCTTTGCTAAAGGATTAATTACTTTATTATTTAATAATTAAATTAAAGAATTTAATTAGTCAAATAAATTTAGTTATTAGTCCAAATGAAATATTATTATATTCTTTGCTAGCACAGAA